GCAATAAGGTACTAAGTCGTACATTTGTCTGGATCTCTGGATCAATAAATACCCGAACGAGGACTCCAGGACGTTAAAGGTGCATTGACGACCGGAGGTCCACAGGTTTCTACCTTGGCAGTGAACTCAAGAGTCAAAGATTCCAATTTTCCACCTCCGGATCCAGCTGCCCAAAGAGACACAGCGAGAGTATTTTGACCATTGTAATTCAGGACCCCTTGAGCTAGATCATCGTGTTAGGCGTCCACCATTGTCTGTGTATAGGATCGCGACTTACGAACTGGAAATGATTTCTGAGGTCCAATATTGTTGACTGAAAGCAAGAGGCTCAATACATTCTACACAGGCAATACGTTGCATTCTAACGTACCATATTTGCCGAAATTGTAACCATTGACGTAGAGCTGATGACAATGTCAGCTTCACCATGAATTCTCCCAGAACCTCTGAATCGATACCTGAGATCGTACATGAGGATGGGTGGTAGAATTGCCCACAACTAAGGCTAGAGGATAGTCTACGCCTTCAGGAATATTCAGATTGAAGGTTGTCCTAACGAACTAATTATATTGACAAAATGCGGGCATATGGAAAAAGTTACCTGTAGAAGCTAACACCGGCATTGGAGATTCCAGCTGTAGGCTTTCCGACTGCCCACTTGGCGTCGTCGAAGCCAGGAAGATGCCATCCTAAAGAGCTTTAAAGCACAAACGCATGGTTACTTGCGTATTTACCTTGTCGTTCACCGTAAAGCCCGCCCTCATTCAAGCCGCCACGAGTCTTGTCAGCATACTACATATACACAAGGTGGTCAGATTGATTAACCTAAGCGGGAAAAAGCGTCAGGTACATACACTCTCTCCACCAAGATTTCCGGTCACCTTCCATACAGTCACGGTTGGAACACTCCTACCGAAGAACGTGTAATTGAGAATGCCTCTTGGGTTCTTAAAATCTTCACCAGCCGCCCACCAATTCTCTTCCAACCCCATGTGATCTTGCAGAATAGTTAGCACGTGTGTTGAGCCTTCATCCAGGAGTGATGGAAACTGGGATATGCTAGTATATTCCGAACATACAGCGTTTCCTTCCCAAGAACCAATGAAAGTCGAGTCCAGCCAGATTGAGAACCCGAACGCGGATCCTCCTTGAATCTGGGCAGAAAACGCCGTTTCATCCCCAGTGGCAGTGAAGTGACCACGCCAGAGGATATTTCCAGTATGGTATCCATAGTCTCCGGCGAAAAGAACAACAGGAGTGGTAGGTGGAGTCGGGTTGATAGTGACGGTATGGTTAGCCACGGTCCATTCGACGTCTGAATAATCGGCTTTGATTTCCGGGAGGCTGTCTGCCGTTTTCTAAATTATCATGAATTCCATGCAGGTACAAACCTTGAACCAGAACATACCCAAATCAAGGAGGATAATTTGGGAAGCTCGACTGTAGGAAGATGGGCCGAGCGCTCCGCAGTCAAAGTACCTTGAGGGGTCTTGCTTAATTTGAGGGCCTCCCCGTTAAAAGTAACAAATTTGGAAGAAGCAGCAGGGGCGATGATCTCGAATGTCGTTGTATCGTTCAAATCACCCTTGATGGCGAATGTATCATCATCAATATCAACAGACCGGACCAAGTAACCTCCTTTGACAATGATGGGGTCTTCAGTGCTGTAGCTCGCGAAGTTACCCGAGGTGGGAGGATACAAGACCCAGAATTGGTAGGCATTGGCACGGTCTACACCGAGGGTGAATGTTAGATCGATGAAAAAATACCGTCACTTGCCAAGAATATACACTAGGATGGATCCAACTTGAACTACTATTTGTCCAGTGGTCGTAAATTGAAGTACGAGGCTGTTGTTTCTGAGGGTCTTTTGCTTGAGAGAAGCAGATCCAGAAAGGACTTCAGCAGCTGGCGGCATATCGCTGAACATGGAAGCAGTCTCGTGGAGCTCTCCGGCGTTTCCGTAGACGAGCAGGATATCCTTACCATCGATGGTGGCCCTGGTTTACCCCTTATGAGTACCACAGTACGACAACACAAGGGGAAGTTATTCACCAAGTGAGGATTTCGGCACTGGAGTAAAGCACATTCATAGAACCAGCAGTATAATCAACGACATGGATCTTGGAGTCTCTTCCATTTAAAGTCAAGGAACCGCCGATTGTGGGGATGGTCAGGGTTCCAATGCTCGTGGCAACAGTGAGAGTGTATGATTGCAGGGCAGTGCTTGATGCATTTGTTTGCCTGGAAATGTATTCGTATTTTAAAGACTTTTTTCATGTTTGATCGCTATCATGCAACTGACCTCACGATATAGAAAGCGGTCTTCTTTCCAACGACGTCTAGAAGTTGCGTGGTTTTAAGAGCAATATTTCCAGTAAAAGAACCTTGTGTGGCATAGATATTTTGTGGTCGACTAGTCAAATATGCAGGTGTTACAGCGAGGAAGTTGGCTTGTAGCTTAATCTCGTAATATTTTTCACGGAGGGTCCTATCCTCCGCAATAGCTGATCCCTTTCGAAAGTGTAAATCAAGGTCCCACCATCACCATGACCCGGTACTCACATAGTCGTACGACGTATAGACACCTGTGACTTTTAAGCAGAAGACAACGAATGTCTAATAGAGCAGATAAACCAAACCTGGGTGTCCTATACCCCCTGCCGTAAATTACCAAGTGAGACCTACTCGACCTTCATAAAGTTTCACAACATACCCCAATTTGTACCGCCGAAGATCATATAAAGGTTCAGTATCGTCGTCGACAAAGCTAATTGGTTTTTGTAGAACACTGAAAGGCTATCAGAGACAATAATAAGATGAAGCCTTGAATCTACCTCGCTCGAAGTCGGGACCAAGGAGTGTAGCACAACTCGCATATCCAGCACCCCCCCCTGTTCGTAATCATTTAGACAACCTATCAAGCGGAGATCTTCAACTCACCAGGGATCAAAAGCACCTCCTTGAAACTCCCAGACGGCGTTTGGAGCCTGTGGATTGATATCCAGATGAGAGCCCCAGAAATACCTGAAGATAAGTAGGTTGAGTTGAAGCCACAACACAATAATGTAGATGGAAAGAATACTCGGGAACAGAATCAGAAGCCCACACGTATGGGTTTGCACAATCAAAGCCATTGGGATATGAGTCATAACCTTGGAGAACGTCAGAAAAAAGGCGCAAGAGATATTCTTAGCCCTCGAACCATAGATATCAACACTTGTGAAATGTCCTCCAGGCCAAGCATCATTAGTGGTTATAGGAACGGTGATACCCACGGCCCTCTGTTAATTATGAATCTTTAGCTATTAGGGCTGTGTTTCAAGAACGCTCCCACGAATTGCTCAAGCAATATCTTTTCATACTCAAAATCTTCAGTGTATGGTGCTTGAAACCCACTATACTCGTTCTCAGCCTGAAAAGCTTTCAGATCTAAGTCAACAATTGGAAGTTTGGATCCGTACCTGAACCAGAATGATAGGACCTCCTTTAGTGATTTGATTCTCAGCAATCTTGGTGCCAACTGCTTTGATATATCCAGTCATTGCCTCAACGTAAGTCGCATTTTGCGTTCTCCAGAGGCCCACGGTGTGAGTCCCCCATCCGGGAAACCCCCCACCTGAAGCTTCTGCGTTAACGTACGGCCTGAATGGAACCAGCATCAGCCTTTACAAGTCAGAAGTAGTAGAAATCGTACCCAGGACGCGCTATGAGATAGATCCCGGCTTTTTTAGCAGCATCAAAGAATGGCTGGAGATCTAGAAAGCCGTCAAAGGATATGTCTCCGCGCTTATATTCGTGTAGTCCCCAGAACGTATAGAAAGATACGGCATTAAAACCCAGCGCTCTGTAATATCCCATCAACACTAGTAATATACACGGATAAGCTAGGTTTACTTGATCTTCTGGAAAATATCTAGGTGTAGACTTTGAACTGGGTTTCTGAAGTTTCGATCAGCTAATCATCACAAGTTCCTCTATCACACGACTGACCGGAACGGATGTACTTCGCCACTGAAGATCATGACACGCTTTCCATTTATGAAAAGTGAGTACTCGTCCCAAGTCACCTGGAAAAAAAATGATGAATGTCACGGTCATGTAAAGCTCCATAAGTGAACTTTCGCCAAGACATACAATATCTTGAAGGCCGGTACTCAGGCGGGGAACTAATTTGTTGATTCGCAGATCACGACGTGTCTTTGCCAGTGCGGAGGCTGCACATAGCAGTGCCAGTACTTTGGTGAAGAACCTCATGATTTTGCGAGTTTCGGCGATTTCGTTGCTCGTAGACTCGGATTGTTCATCTTAAATAGCCCTGAAAATAATAGCATCCACGTGTCCTCACGAAAGGTACATTTCAATGGATTCCTTTCTCGACCAGTCTTTTCCGACGATGGATAGTAGTGTGAACCAGAAAGGAAGCCACTCGACCTAGTAGACAAGTTCTGGAAAAGAAGCGGGTAATGCCGCTACAACAACGTCCAGGCTCGTCGGAAGAAGTGCGTCGGAAGAATATCGTGGAAACAGGTCAGCGCGTACAGTGCATTGCAAACACAGTGCCGGTGTAAGTATGTATATACAGCGAAGATGTGGGGTAGGACCGACTGACAGTGACATGTCGTGTGACGCTACCATTGAACTTCCCTTTGGCTTCGAGAAGCTTTGAGGGCCAGGCACAGCAAGAGAAATACCTGAAGCCACCGACTATCCGAGTCTCTCCGAGGTGCATACTTGATACTACGACGCAGCTGCGATGCGCACATGATGTATCATGCCGAAGATAAACCATTTGTTTTAGATTTAGAACCCTTTCTTGAATATTCTCGAATTCGGAAAGCAAGCTCAAGCATATCCTTATCCCTCCAAGTTAAAGCCTAAATTTGAAGTATCAGTCTATATATATATATAGAAAAAATGCCATTATTTTCAATAGAATCTATCTAGGTATGGTAGCTACAAATACTCAAAATTGCTCCAAGTGGAGCAGGTAAAACAACTCCGACCTGCCTGGATCGAACAGGCGACCTCAAGATAAGTATCCAATTACAGTCTCGCGCTCTACCAACTGAGCTAAGATCGGTCTACCTTGGCAACGAAAGAATAATATCTGTCTCGTGTCCTAACTCCTATATGTCCAAGAAGCAGAAACAGCAACAGCTCTCAATGGCTATCGTTCCAAGTAATCTTTGAGGACATCCTTATAATTATATCTACAGATGTGTGATGGCGATGTCATCTGCATCCTCAGCACCTACTTGCGCTTGCCTTACCAACCTCCTCCTGGCCAATACACAGTTGTCGCATCCTTCTACCTTCTTTCCACCTCCATACGACCCAAAATAATAAGCATTGCGACCGGCACTAAATGTCTGCCTATCTCTCGATACCCATCAAAAGGGGAAGCTTTACACGATAGCCATGCCGAAGTCCTCGCACGACGCGGTGCGATCCGCTGGTTTCTTCTCGAAGTTCTGCGGTGCTCGTTGGAAGACTCCGGAAGATATGAGTCACCTTGGATCGAACAAAGGCTGAATGGGAGGTTCAAACTCAAGGAAGGTGTGCAGGTCTGTCTGTATATATCTACTCCTCCTTGTAAGACTGCAATTACCACCATTCTTTCAATCGATATGTTCATTCTGCTCTATCTGCATCTTTAAGGCGGCGATGCGTCCATGCGTATTCTAGCACTGGGCCAGGATGAAGAAATGGCTTCCCTCAAAAACTCATCTGTGTTTGCTCCTTTAGGTGAGAACGTAGCTTCAAGAGGCCGCGACAATTATGGCCGTTTGGGGGTACTTCGCACGAAACCTGGGCGTGCAGATTCGCCCCCGACGATGTGTATGGCATGCAGCGATAAAATTGCTTCATGGAACGTCCTAGGTTTTCAGGGTGCACTGGCAACGCGTTTCATTGAACCACTTTACCTTTCCTCAATTGTTATCGGCGAGGTGCCGCTTGGTGTACAAGACATTGTGAAAGAAGATTGTGACCGGGCACTATGGAGGAGACTTGGGTCCGTCGAGGGTGACTACCGCTCGATCAAAGACCATAGCTCAACCCCTTACTCATCCTGGCAGATTGGCCTACTGGATACAGGATTTATGTCCCCACAATTGTGTTTACTAGTCAACCCTTCGTCCACTCGCGTACCGTGATTGAAGCGACCAGGCCTTCTGACGGGTCTTGTAACGAAGGTCAAACTTTTCTGATTTTAGCGGTATAACAAACATCTGACGGTTCTCATAATAAAGCGCTATGTTGGGTAGCAGATACAAGCGCACACGAGTTCCTGATTAATGGCCTCAAACGTGGTGTGGCTACAAAGCATCGTTTTCGAGAGAAATCAAGGTATGAGAGCCATGACTAGCATCTAATGTCAAAGTACCGCGATTCCGCTCATTTCCTTATTCCAGGCCATCATTGTCCAGGATGGCGATGTTACATCTGTACCATCAGATCCTAGCAGCCCAGGGCCTTCAACCTCTGAAGTAGGTCGTTATCTCCAGAAAGTCAGCTCACTTTGACAATCTATAGCTCATCTTGTACGTATCACGAGGTGAAAATGTCCATGATAGACTACCAAATGGCCAAAGAAAAACTGATTGGCAAAGATGGTGCCTTCTCTGGCTGGGTTCGCAGTGGCGCAAAATGGCAGGGTTTCGACCTTGATCAAAACATTGACAGTCTCAAGACAAGGAGCGACTCCTGAAGAAGAAGATTTCCTACCTGTCGGGGCTTCGTCCTTTATTGGGTTCGACTGGTATCCAGAGCTCTACGTATCTGCCCTGTCGTAAATAGTCACTATTTCATTGGCTACCGCGTGCATAGTCGCCTCTAGGCTGGTGTCTGTATTGTGCCATAGTCGCTTAAATTACGCCGCTGCCTCTCGTGCGTGCTGTAATAGAGCAGGCAATGATTGACAATTTCCTCTGCTTGGTTGCATGCTGTGCATGTTGCTGCTTCGACCTGTGAAGGTAATGGTTCAACGTTCAGTGGACAATGCCCCCATTTGTAGTTGTGTCAGGATGATGTGTGCGTTTGGGGTATGCTGTCTAGCATCTGGCCTTCAGCTTTGTCAACAACACAATATTTCTAGCCATTGCAAAAACCCTCTCCAAATGCTACAACATTCTCAAGGACATGGTCCAGTGACCCAATGGCAGCTTTGACTGGTCCACCTCCCACCACTTACCCTTCAAACTCTCTAAGCTAGCACTCATGAACTTTCTGAGCTCCCACCTGGATGCCATTCTTGAAGACTTGACCCTAACACAAGCCAACCCAGATGGCGCAGCTACTGCCCAGCAGGTCAAAACAGTGCCCATGTACAAGTACCTGGGTGTTGTGTTCAACTTTAAGTTGAGATGGTCTGCTCACTGCCAGAAGGTAATGGCTCAGGCCACATGGTGGTCATTGCAGGTCATGCATCTCTCAAGGATCTCTGGAAGAATGCCACCCTGCCATGTACAACAACTCTACAATACAGTTGCTGTCCAGCAATCACCTGTGCCACTGATATATGGTACACAGGCATCCACAACTCACCCTCCAGCAAGAAAAAACAAGGATCTATTGTGATCACCAAGAAGATCATTCTCTTGCAATAGTAAGCAGTGAAGACAATAACTGGGGCCCTCAGTATAACAGCCAAAGACATCCTTGATGTCCATGCATTCCTACTCCTGGTGGAACTACTCTTCAAGAAAGTCCTGTTCTGGTCAGCAGTGTGTCCTGCCTCCCTCCCTCCTTCACACCCCTCCATCCCCCATGCAATAGGCTGCCAGGCAATATGTTGCCCAACACTTCTTCCCCCTCCCCCACCTTTTTTATGTAATTATGTAATAGGGGTCAACTCCAAAACTATTGAGATAGTCAAGCCAATTCAGCAATGCCTCAACTACTCACCATCCTTCTCAGTTGACATAGCCAGGGACAAGGAGTCAGCTCTGGTACTTGCTAAAGACACCTTTGCCAAAGTTCCAGCTATGGTTTACTGCAACAGCTCAGGGTTCTAAGACAGCATTGGTGCTTCAGCAGTACTATTTGTTGATGGTAGGGAAACTCAGCACCTGTGCTATGACCTTGGCAACAAATCCCAACACATAGTTTATGAGGCTGAGATTATGGATGTTCTCCTAGCCTTTTACTTGCTGACACTCTTGTTCCAAAATCTTCCTGCACTGGCTGTCATTGGCAGTGACAGCCAAGCTATAATAAGAGCCCTCCTCAACCAGTGTCCCCACTCTTCCCACTACCTCCTCAACAGAGTTCATGCCATGGCTGAGCTTCTCCATACCAAGCAGGATTGCATCATCTGCACCATGCAATGGTGCCAAGCACTGCAGAGCAAATGCACCTGGGAAGACCACACTAGGGAGGTCATTGACTTCCAAATCCACTGGACCCCAGGTCACATGGGATTCAGCTTCAACAAGTGTGCCAACAAACTTGTAAAGCAAGCCTCCCAAGGCCACTCCAGCAATGCCAAGTCCCTCCTTGTTGCACTCCATAACAAAACACTCCCAACCAGCAGCAGTGCCACATGCCAAGCTGCCTCCACCACCACCTTAGTCAAGTGGAAAGCCCAATGGAAGAAGTCCCCTTGTTTTGTCAACAGCCACACCATTGACCAGTCCCTGTCCTTGAAGAGTTATCTCTGCCCAACCCAACCTCTTGATTGACCCCACTCTGCCCTCCTCATGCAACTCCACACCTGCCACATTGCTCTGAATCAATATCTGTTCCATATTTGCCACTCCAAAATGCCAGTGTGCCCACACTGCAGGAACCTTGTAGTGGAAACTGTACACCACCTTCTGGTCATCTGCTGTCACTATCAATTCAAGCAACACCTGCACCTCTGGCACAGACTGCACTGCAAAGCTGAATCTATTCCATACTTACTTAACAAGCCCAACACACTCAATCACCTTTTCAAATTCATTCACACCACCAAGTGCTTCCAACCATGCAAACACAACAACTGAGCTAAACACACCAGCTACACTGACACCTCCCACCCAGCACAACACTCTGCATTGCCCCCCTACCTATACCTATACCTAAACCCCACCTAATTTAAGCACCAGTGCTTCTCACCTTCCAATCTCTCACTTGGACATACCTCTCTGAGTTAGGCACACCACTGCAATGCTCAACTCAAAGCCAGCCACCCTGTGCAGAAGGCACTCATAGCATATAGACAAACAAAACTCAATCCCTCAGATGTAACAGGGGAGTGCAACCAAAAACAGTCTCAGAAATGCTGGCTGGCTTATTCTCCACATATGTGGGGGGGGGGGGGGGGGTGGATTCTTGCAGCCTTTGTAAATTAGTCAGTAGTACCATGCAACATGGCATAGTACACCAAGCATGAATAAAGTTGATTGAAAAAAACTAAAACATAAAAATGTGTGCCTGGGTCAGGGGAGATGTCAAAGAGGCTTGGAGGCCTTGTGGGGGAGGGGGAGCTGAGGAGGCCCACAAGGGTTGTGCCACAGTTTGTCAGAAGGTTATCATGGTTTGCCAGAGAAGTGTGGAAGATAGCTGGGGCAGGTGCCATGAGTGAATGAGGGTTGAAGAGAGAGCTTCAGGGAAGCAGGGTGGCTTGAGAAGACGGAAGTCTGGAGGTCTGGGAGTGGGTCATGACAAGTGTTGCCAGCCCAGAGGTATTTTCTGACTAATGGAGGGAGCATAGAAGGCTGAGTTCTGATCTGGGGGCCAGTAGCAGGGGGCATAGCAATCTGCAGGTGGGGCTGGATAGAATGGGGCATAGTAGCTTTCAAATACTGGCTGGCTATAAGTGTCAGTTAGGTAGCTGTTGGGGGTGTATGTGGGATTATACACAGACATTGAGAATGAAGTAAGGTAGAGTCTTGATATTTTGTCAAGTTCTACTGACCATGAGGGCCCAGCTCAACTGGGCAAGTCCTTATTAGGCAGATGTGATGTCCTGCATTTATAACCTAGCACTCCAGGGAGGTCTGGATGTTAGATACCTGCAAGGATGAGTTGGGGAAGGTGGTCTAGAAAAGTCTGAGGTAGTCTGGTGAGGTCTAAGACAAGGTGCAATAAGGGCTG